GAAGAAGTTCAAGCCGCTTTGAATGAAATAGCAAAAAATAAGGCCCCAGGAATAGATGGTATACCAATTGACATATTTCAGCTAATAGATGCTGCCCTGGATGTGCTCACCAGGTTGTGCCCAGAAATCTGAAGAATAATCACTTGGCCAACTGACTGGAAAAGATCTATATTTGTTCCCATCCCAAAGAAGGATGACCCAACAGAGTGTGGAAACTATAGAACAAATGATATTTTTGGATGATCTTCAATAGAATCTGGCTTGCATGTGAAATTAATGATATTGTTCTATAGTTTCCACACTCTTGATATTTCTGAATGTGCTGGGTGGACTCAAATTGCCAACCTCTTATTAGAAGCTGAGTGATTAACTGTTCACATCAAGGACTCTAGTCATGTGGCAACTGGTGAATTGCTGTCACGTGCAAGTAATGAATTTCATACCACATCCACAAAATAAATGTTCTTGGGGTCAGCAGAAGCTGGCAGGGGCTCACCTTGCTGTCTGCTGGACTCGGCCTGGTGCCTGGTCATTGTTCAATCTCCAGCCTCCTACTTCTGATATTTGTAGTGATTAAATGTGCCCTCTTAGCTAGAGTTCTTTCATACCAGATACAAGATCACATGTTGTTCCTTCTGTAGGCTCTGGCGATTCAGCAAGTTTATCAATAGCTTTCCATGGTGCAGTTCCAACTTTCCATAATCTTTCTAGTCCTTAGGATATCTTGCTCGAAAAGGTGGAGGGTAAGCACAAGACAGAGGAAGACTTTCAGCAAGATAGATTGGTAGACTTGCCGGAGCAATGATGTCAAGAGTCTCAGAGATAGTAAGAATGGCACAGGACAGGGCAGGTCTCAGATCCATTGTCCATGGTGTCACTATCAGTTGCAGTTGACTCAAAGGCACATAACAACAACAAGGAAGAATTAGAATTTTCTGACAACTTCAGTAGCTTCATATGCATATGAAAATTGGACAATGAAAAAAAAAGACTCAGGAAGAATTGATGCCTTTGAATTATTGTAGTGTTGGTGAAGAGTATAAACTATACCATGAACTGTCATGGAAACAAAATCTACCCTGGAAGGAGTGAAGCCGAGTGTTCCTTAGAAGCGTGGAAAGACAGTAAAACTCGGTCACACATAGTTTTGAGTGTATATCTGAGAGGAGTTGTTCTTTGGAAAGGGATATTTTGCTTGGGAAAGTAAAGAGGAGGGGAAAGGAAGCGCCTCACATAAATGGGTTGACACAGTGACTGCAAAAATGGGCTGAGGAACAACAAAGATTGTGAGGAGGAGCGGGAGCAGATTGTTTTTGTTCTGTTTGTAAGGACATTGTGCTGCTGTTATGTACTGTTGAGTCAGAGATGACCCACAGCTGACCCTCTAGTGGGCTTTCAGAGGGAGTTAATCACATGGGAGAAGACTGCCCACCCTTCTCGTGTGATGCACCTGGTGGAATTGAACCCTGCACATTTGGGATTGTGGTGCAGTTTCTTACCATTAGGCCACCAGAGCTTCCAAAGGTCACTGTGAGTTGGAGCCAACTCATCAGCATCTAACAATAACAATGAATTAGGAGAATATGGAATAAAAATGTATTCTGTAGGAATGGTGATCAGTTTCACATTTGTAAACTTTTTTCAAGTGTTTTGAAACTATTTGCAATAAATATATATGATCTTTGTTTGCTTGATGACTAATTTCAGGATTGACAGTTAGACTCAGCCAGAGTGCTGTAAGAAAAGGATCTGTTTTTGTAAAGCTTATGGCCAAGAGAGCTCAACATGATTCTGCTCTCTTACACTTGGGGTTGCCATGAATTGTGCTTGATTTGATGGCAACGGGCTTTCTTATGGTTGTCTTTTATATTTATATAATAGAAAGTATGTATACAACAGTATATAAGAGCTCTGGTAGGGCATATAAGAGTCTGTAGGGAATTCAGGAAATCAGAAGACAAATTGCATTGGGAAAATCTGCTGCCATGGAGCTCTCCAGAGTGCTGAAGAGCAACGATGTCAGTCTAGATACAAAGATGCACCTAATCCAGGCCTTGGTCTTCTCAATTACTTGTTATGCTTTAGAGAGTTGGACAGTGACTAAGGATGACAGAATAATCTAATGCTTTTGAGTTGTGCTGGAGAAGAGTCTTGAACATGCCATGGACTGCCAAGAAAACAAATTAGTCTGTCTTAGAGAGGGTGAAACCAACTCTCTCCTTGGAGGCTAGGATTTTGAAGCTCTGCCTCACTTACTTTGGGCACATGGACAGGAGAGATTGGTCCTTGGAGAAGGACATCATGTTCAGAAGGGTGGAGGGACAGCACAGGAGAGGAAAACCTGGTGAGATGGATTGATACAGTAACTGGGACAATGGGAGTTGTTGTTTCACAATTAGTGAGACTGGTTCAGGACAGGGAAGGGTTCAGAGCTGCTGTACATAGGGTCGCTATACATCATAGGCAACTCAATGGCATATAACAAGAATAACATACTATATTGATTGTGATGTTGGTTTTTTTGGTTTGTTTTGTTTTTATTTAAGCCTCTTGTTTAGAGTCAACAAGACCTTGGGGAGTGCCTTTCTATTTAAAGTTGGTTGTTATTGTATCTTGTATTCACATTCTTAGTGGTACAATATCTTTCTGTCAATATGTTGCACTGAGGCTACCTGGGCTTTTTGTGATGCTGAACCTTGCGCCATGGGAGTGTCAAATGCTGTAACGGTTACCCATGGTGTACAGTGTTTGCTGGAGCTCCCAGTTTAGGACAGATTTGGAAGCAGGAGTGGCATCCACTTTCTAAACAACGTGCCTCTGGAAACTCTATGAACTTTGATAAACACTGATAGTTATAGAAAGACCTCAGGTCTTTTGTTCATAGTTTCGCTATGAGTTGTGCTTGACTTGATGGCCATCAATAACAATGACAGGGCATTTCACTTCTAAATAGATGAGTAGCCTCCTCACATGTAATTTACAGCCTTTGAAAACCTTTATGGTCAGTTATGAGTTGATTCCTACTTAATAGCAATGAGTGAGTGAGTGAGTGAGTGAGTGAGTGAGTGAGTGCGTATGAAAAGCAGAATATGAAAATCTGATTTAGATTACACGTTTTCTTTACCTTGAGGCTTAACTGAGTTGGATTGACCTGGTGACTACAGCAATGGGCTTCTCCAGGGACCCTGATAGGACGGTGTAGAGCTTGGCATTGCTTCATCTGTTGTGCATAGGGTCACTATGAATCAGATGGCACCTAGCAACATGATTACGTTAACTGTCACAGTATCTAACAAGCTCAGTGTAAGTAATTCACCAGTACTCAAGAGATCAGGAGCCGGGAGATCAGGAGACGTATTACATTGGGCAAGTCTGCTGTCAGGGACCTCTGCAAATTACTGAGGAGCAGCAGTGTCAGATTGAAGACTAACATGTGCCTGATTCAGGCCACAGTCTTCTCAGTCATTTGCAAGGCATCTGAGAACTGGACTGTGAACAAGATTGACATCAGAAGAATTGATTCATTTGAGTAGGGCTGCTGGAGAAGAGTACTGAATATCCCATGGACTGCCAAAAGAACAAACATGTCTTGGAGAAAGCACAGCCAGAGTGCTCCTTGGAGGCAAAGATGACAAAGCTTTGTCTCTCATACTTTGGGCATGTTCCTTGGAGAGACTATCCCTTGGAACGGGATATTATGCTTGGAAATGTAGAGGGTCAGCGTCAAGAAGGAAAAAGATCTTCAACCAGGTGGATAGACAGTGATCCAGTAATGGGGTCAAGTGTGTCAGAGATTGTAAGGATGACACAGGACAGGACAGGGTTCAGAACTGTTGTTCATAGTTATTCGTACTCGGTGACACCTGACAGCAATAAGGTAATTTGTATGATGGCTCAATCTAGTAATTTGTAGTTTACAATAAAATTTAAGGAACAAGTATAAAATGATACCTGATTTTTATTCAGACCTGTTTGAATAAAATCAAAAGCCCTCTTTTTAGTGGATTCATGATGGTTAAAAACAACTGTGAAGCTGAACTTCTTGGTCTCAAACTCCTATTCTATAGATTTACAAATTCATAGTTAAGGGTGAATTGCCTAGTTTCTGCATGGTTCAGCTTTCCTTTCTGTAAAGTGAGGATATTAATAGTACCAGTCCCTTTATGTTTTTACAAAGATTAAATTTATAATGGTATTTGATA